TGCACATTGTACAGCAATTTTCATTGCCATTGCTCGGACATTTTGCAAGCCAATCAACTCAAGAGCGTGAAAAGCATTCACAAAAATATTGGCGAAATATAAAATAATTGTTCGCCTCCCCATGGGATAAGCAGCGACGAAACAAATTAAAACCATGAAAAACGAGTCATAAAGAGGAATACCGAATACCAACTAAAACTGAAAATCCAACAAAAAATGTTACAAATTTTTCTAGGTTTTTTTTTTTGTTGTCGGTGCGCTCTGAGATTGCGCAGTCAAAGACCTTCATGCTCGTAATTGGCAGCAGCATACTTAAGCCCAGGCCCCAAAAAAAAAACAGCAACAAAAAAAAAAACGAAAGACGAGAGCCAAAGGTGACTTCCCCGCCGCCACAGCACAGCAGAATTTCGTGAACATAATTTATGCAAGCGCAAAAAAACAGACAGGAGACAGGGCGACTGGAGTCAGGACTGAACTGAACTAAACTGAACCCTCAGCTGCTAATGAGATTTCATACGGCTTCCAATGCACCCATTCGTTCGTACATATGATAGGCAGCAGCAGGAGTAATCCCCTGTTCAGCCGAGTCTCTTAGCCGAAAACCATAGCAAAATCCCAAGACAAGACAATGGCCAGAGTTTGATGTCCGAGAAATGGCAAGCAATGAGTGATTTTAACAGGGTGTAAACGGTACGTGCTGATGCTCGAAGAGGTGATGACAGAAAGTGGGAAGGAAAGATATGAATATAAGTAGATAGATTAAATAGTTCTCAATATGTACGTCACGGTTTAATGGCTGATTACAAAATGACAACAGTCATCCAATATTTTCTAAAATGAGATTCTAAGCCCAGTCTTCTACTTGTTTAATACATAGGAAGATACTTCTTTTGTGGATCTATGGTACAATTCCTCTAGTCCCTTGCACCCCTAAGTACCATTTAGTCTTCGTTTCTTTTGCCTATGGCTTCGGAGGTATCGACATGGTCTATGATATATTAGCTCTCATTTTTTCCGGCTCTCTTTATTGTCTTTGTAATTGTTAGCAATTATTACAATTCGCAAGCAACTTTTTGGCATAGGCTTTGGTTACGGCCCAGCGGGTGGCGGATGGCAGTTGGCAGTTGGCAGGCGGCTGTCTCGCTTTTTGTCCAGTCCCTCAGGTCCTCTATGTCTGGATTTTCTCCACATTAAGAGTTCATTTTTTTGCCTGGCGGTTCGTTGGTTGGTTGGCTACATGGAATGACGTCAATAAACACATTTTGGCTTTTTGTTTGCTGCCATTTGGCTCTGGTTTCTGGTTTTTAGTTGAAGTTTTGTGTGGTTTTTTTTATGACACGCTGCCGCGTTGATAATTGTCATTTGGCATTGCTGGAGTTGTCATCAATCCTCAGCACCGATCGCGGATCGCAATAAACTATAAGTTTTTGTATGGACTTTCGGTAAGCGGCTTTGATTTGTTGGTTCAATGACACAGACATCTTTGGGGTTGGGGTGCCTGGGATTTGATAGCTCATTTAAATTGAACCACGAGGAGAGGGGGGCTAGACTTTTGCACTGCTCGGCTGACAGCTGACGAGTGCCGACTTTTTGATATGCAAAAACTTTCACCGTGTGTGCCAGGATAAAGAGATTAATTATATGCATTCATTGCAATGGCAATGCAGTTTCTTGGCCAAGTTTGTGTCTTGAGTCATTCGTTTTTCATTTGCAAGAGAAACTGATCGTTTGATGGCTTTGTTAAAGAGGATTTTAAACCGAAAAATCTCTTAAGCTTATTGGTTTTTGTCAGCTTACAAAACAAAACTTTGATTTAGCATTCAATGAACTTTTGATCAGCCATTGCGAAAAATCCACTCAATGATTCATCGCGTACAAGCCTCTACAAGTAATAAATAAAATTTGTATATACTTTTTAATGAGTGAATAAAATGTAGTATTTGTTGGATTGAACTATTTTATGATCAGATTAAAAAGCCATCAAAACATCACTCAAAGCGCTCTCAATAAATTCTATTCACATACAATCCGTGCCGCCCTGCCCTACACTAGATTTTCTCTTATAAATTATTTAATGACTCAAAGGGAAATTTGCATTTTTTATACACCAAAAACAGAGCCAACACCCACTAAACTTACAGCACTGTCCCTCCCTCCAGTCTCTGGCCATTATGCATATCGAATGAAGGCATTAAATGTTTAATTGCCAGGCAGCGTTGGCCAACTCTTTAGAGTGCAGAGATATGCAGATGCATACATTTCGAGAAGCCGAGGAATCTCCTGAACAAATTAGTGGAATTTTCTCCATTTGCATGTCTGTTTCATGGCAAAGACTTTTCGCAATGCGACCGACCATAAGCGAGCGAACAAAGAGCCTAATTGAAGGTAATTTAAATTGATTAAACATGTCTATAGGTTGGGCCCACCATCCGCTAAGACTCCGCTCCGGCTCCGACTCCGCTCTGTGTCTGAGGCTTTTTGTGGAGGTGTTTGTTTGCTGCACTTTTTGGCTGCTCTTTGATTTTGGCATTGTCTTGGTACAAAAACAAATGAAAAATGATACAAGAAATATACGCGGCTCGGCTCGGCACGGCTCGGCACGGCTAGGCTCGTGTGGGTCGTTTGGCAGTTGTGATGATGATGGGTGGGTCACAAGCCATCAACAGCACCACACGGCACCACTCGACACCACTCGGCACCACACAACATACACTGTGTGGGGTATTCGTTAAGTATGGTAGCATGTTCTGAGGTGTTTATGGTTTAATTAGGCCTACTGCTGCTGCTGAGCATGATGAAAAATGAAAGGACCGAAATCATATAGCACTAGAATATAATTTAAATACCAGTGGGATGCCTAACATTGCGGCTAAAAGAAGCCTTCTGGCTGAGATCATCTTAGCCAGAAGCCGACCTTGGCCCAGCCTAGAAATTGCAACCCGACGAGCCGTCTCTTCTATGAATCACATTTTGGACATCCTGTTCAGTCCCCTTAAAAACCTAATTCCAAATGATAAATATTTTGCTTGGCAGAGTTCATTGGAAGCGCTTTGGGTTGGCTAGAAATTGAATTATAAAGAATTATGCTTTTTTTCAGTTGGGTTTCATTATTGTTTTTTATTTTTGTTTCAGCCATAAAAGGCAAAGCTAATAATTATGACTTTGAAACGTTTTCGGTATGGCTTTCGTTGGAGTCTCCGGACAACACAAAATATTTTGACACAATAATAGAAATAAATTTCAATTGTGCACAAAATAAAGTGCAAAAATATCATTAAAAACGTGTGAGAATACAAAATACGAAAAATTCTACAAAAATTTAATTTTTGGTCAACAGTCAACATTAAACACATTTTTGGGGATAAAAAGGGTGTGCAAAATTGTGTGTCTGAAGCGATTTTGGCATACAAAATGAGAGAGTGGAATATTTCAAAATTAATGGAATTTCTTTCATTTAATTTTTAGGTATTCCTTGAGGCACATTAAAACGCCAGAATACCCTGCTGATATCCCAGAGGGAAACCAACCGTCAGCTTAATTAAAAAGTATCTCGCTGTGGTGTTGAAATGGTCTTAATGTCAACCTCCGGTTGGCTGCCACTGCCACAAGTTCTAACTCTCTGACATTCAGCTCCAGCGATAGAGACTGACAAAAAGGCAGGCGCGTGCCCATAAATATATATACCTATGCACCTATGTATGAATGTAAAAATGTATATACCCATTGTATATGTAAAGAAATCAAGTATTATAGCTGCTTTTTTTGACGAGGTAATGCAATATGCCATAAGCTTTGAGTTCCGCGCCCAGTTTTTGTTCGTTTCAATATCTTTCGGAGGTGACAATTGGGGCCAACACCTTTTCAGCCCAAATGGTAATTTGCACTAATGCATGCCACAAGCTACTGAGCCTCTAATGCGACATTTGTGGGCCTCGCAATCAAATCATTCGATATATGGTAGACATAAATCAGATATTTCCTCTTTCCTGCCGGGAAAATTTTACTTGAGTTCTGTTCTCAGTTCTCAAAAGAAGTAAAGAACAGAGAAAGCTATCCCCATATGGAGTGTAAGACTGGATCTACTCTTGGGGTCTGGTCTGGACAATCTGATGACTAATGGGCAATCTGTGATATGATGTGAACTCATGCCTGGGCACTAGAATCATTGAACCTTCTATTAATGATTCATTGAATCGAGTTAGGTTTTGTTTAACCAAAGAAATATATATTCCCTAATGAGCTCTGATGATGGAAATAGTATGAAGTATGAATAATATGAAGATCCAAATAATTAACTGAGAGAAATAGCTTTGAAAGTCAGACAAAGAAAATATTCTTTTCCATTGTTATTGACTTTAAAATGGAGCAAGAAATGGAGAGAAATGGAATGGGGTTTTTGCGAGCCACAATTATGAGAATGATGGGAAAGGTTTTCTTCATCTAAAAGAGAATGTAATTCTTTCATTTGTTGTGTTGGCTAATTCGGATTATACAGATAATTTTCATAAAAGTCAAGATACTCGTATACTCTGCGGTAGTCAATGAACTCTGCTTCATGCCAACGCTATTTTATTAGAAACTACTGTAGGTAAATGTATGAAGCCCACTTTGTTTTTTTTTTTTTTAATAAATGTACCATATACCGATAATTTTACCAGGAATTAATATTAACATCTTAAATTAGGTCTGTATACTATGGTATATATAGTTCTCAGACCTCGTAACCCTAATTGGAGCATCGCTCACACATAATTTGCTACTAAATATATTGCATCATCGAGTCTCGTTAACTTAAATCGTTGTTTTGTTTTTCTGATATTATAAAGCAATTTTCCTCTCTTTTTCTTCCCCCCAAAAAAATTGGCAATCTCCAATCAACGACAATTTCCATGCCAGTTACAATGCTTATACCGTATAGTAATAGACAATAATTTATTGCTCGATGCTGACAAACAAAATGTATGCTTAAATAAATCAAAAAGAGACGAATTGCACCGTACCTGTCCGCGCGATAGTGGAGCGTGTTGATATCTCTTTTTAGCATGGGTCCCCGTGACTCCATGTGTCCGTCCACTGAAGGCGTTTCAGCTTATATTTTATTTAACTTTATTTTCATTATATTCTGGTCCGATCCGATGCAAAAGCGGACGGCAGCAGCAGGCAACATCAATGTCGCTTGGCTGCTTTTTTGAATGTATTCACCAGCACTCACACACGCATTCAGCGACACAGACAAGGGGCTCAATGAATCAATGACAATTCGAAAAACCAAACCAACGAAAAAACGCGTGGTACAGGGGAGTTTTTTTGTGTTTTTTAGCTAAATAAAAAAACGCGTAGTCAGCCAAGCAATGGACAAAAAAATTATTGAAAATATTTTATTATAAATTTCAATGATTTTTTTGTTTCTGTGGGCGATGCAGTCGACCAACAGCTGTTGCCTGATTGAGAGAGGCAGAGCAGAGGCCCAAAAAGCTTCTGCGCTGCGTTGCACTTGAGAGAGCATGCAACACGAGAGTCTGAGTCTGAGTCTACCCTTTCCCTTTTCTTGGTCTTGGGTTTTGGCTTGGCCTTTTGCTTTTCTTTTTCAGTATGTCTCTGATCTTTCACTTTCTTTGCAATTCGGAACTGTTGCTGCTTAGTCTCTGAGACCGACTAAAATGAGTGCCTGGAGGAGGGGTCTGTCCTGAGGTCTTGGGTTGCCTCCGTTTTGCATTTCACACTCAACGCTTGGCTTCACTTGAATTCGCGTCGGCTGGGTCGGGTCGGGGCTCACTCAGACATCAGTCACAACAATCTACAATTGTTTAATGTTTACTCTTGTTTTTTGTTCCCCTTTTTTATGCTTTTGTATATTTTTAATGTGTTTTAATATTGTATCTACTCGCGTATAAACACAGATACATCTATATATATACACTGTGTGGTGTATCTATATATATAAATATATTCTTTTAGACGAACTCGTTTTGATGTGTGTGGAAGTGTACTTTTGGCTGGGAAAACCGAACCGTTTGTCTCGCACGCCAACGCTATACTAAAAGAGTTTCGAGCTGGGACCGGGCATTAAATAAGCCTCCGTCTGACACCTGGCTATACCTTTACCTCGGTCTGTGGCTGTGGCTGGGGCTGGGGCTCTGCCTCTACCTCTGAGTCTGGCTCTGAGTCTGTGTCTGGGATGATGTCAGCGCTAGAGAGAAAGAGAGAGAGAGAGAGATATGGAGAGAGAGTAAAAACCACAAACGTATGCCAAAAGAGCTTCATGTTAAAAGAGAATCAAGCTTGGGCTGCGCTCTTTGGCTCAGTTAAATTAATTTATTATTATTATGAGTACTCGTACAATGATAACCATGCCCACATACAATGTTTTAAGTCATTGTAATAAATGTTGATTTATTGTCTCTGGCTTTAAAAGGTGCTGCACAATAAAGGTTTAATTTCTTGAGAGATTTCTATGGCTGTACATTTTTATAAATGAAGTCATTCCCATATCTTTTATATGCAATTTAACTGCACCTTGAAGTATCTTTCAGAAGAAACACAACTTAAGATCAGAAAATCTTCATCTACTCTTTCAGCTTTCTGCTTGTTAATTGAGCAACTTGACAACCCTATTCGAGGCGCCTCTCTTTGGGATCACCGCTATCTCTTTGAGCCGGCTTTTTGTTGGCTTGTTTTTGTCTCTTCAAAACCGGCATTGTCAGCGTAACGTAAACACATTTAACGTCCCACGTAAGAGGGGCACGTAGTGCCAGTTAACGTTATAACGTAAAAGCTCCAGTGAGATTCAATGTGATTTTTGAAGTGTGCGCTGCCATTGAACCAATCTTTATATGTCTTGTACTCAAATTTTTGGCATTATTAAAAATAATTTTTCATCTTATTTTCGAGTGTGGCTTTGGAATTGGCTAATAAAACATTTATGACTTTTGGCCATGTGTGCTGTGAACAAATTAAGCCATTAATTAGAACAACCAGCCAACAGAAAAACAAAAACAAAAATAAAAATACGTATGCGTATACGCTCAATGCTGAACGTGGGACGAGAGCCCAATGCAGTCTAGACTGATTACTGGGGAGGTTGGGGTTGGGGCTGACAACCCTACCTCCAACCAACACTCGCGACAACACGCACGCAAGGCACACAAGGCATGTGGCAAGAGAGAGGGGCAGACAATATGCATGTCAAGTTCAGGCACAAGTAAGGTCTCTCCACGCACTCGGGCATGAAGATCGAACGCCTCGGATCAGTTCTCCAACAAAACATCTCAAAGTATCAGCCTCCGACTTTGACTACGGGCTAAAGCCCTTCAGTGGGTGGCAGCTGAAACAGAAACAGCTGAAAGCTTGGCAAAGACTTGGGCTTGCTTTTGGTTGTTGTTGGTTGCTGGCTGCCCTGAGGCTTAGCCCTGGCTTTCGCTACACGCGCCACTTGACCCTTTGGGGGTCTGCGGGTTCAAAAACGTGGCTTCGGCTGCCGCATTCGCAATGCAATTGAAATTGGATTTGGATTTGGCTTTTGGGTTTTTTTTCGGTCTGTCTGGGATCTGGGATTCGTTGCAGTCCAAATGTTGTCACGCCGTTCTCCTTCTCCTTCTTTCTCTCTCGATATGTCTATCTCTCCCCCTCTCTATAGTTGAGTACAAATTTCGGAACAAATCGCGTTTGAAAGTTATGCCACAAATTTATACTGGCTGCTGTTAATACCAGGCCAACAAATTGCATTGAATTATTCCTCTTTTTTCCCTCTTTGATAGTCGTTCTTTATCGTATTTCTTCGAGTTGTATATATTTGGTGCACAGTTTCTAAAAGAAAAGGACTGGACAAAGTTGGGGAAAATTTTAAGGAAATTTAATAGATGTTAAAAATTCAAATCTCCCTGAAATAGATCTTCTGACTGAAAATAATATTTAACCATTAAGTATATATAAGTTTCTTAGTAAAAAGGCGTGTATTGAATGCCTTCCGATGCGAAAAGACTTTAAGACGAAAGACTCTCAGGTTTTCTATTTTCTTCCTAAAAGAAAACATACGATTTTCCTTTCTAAATTAAAGAAATCCCATTTCACAATCCCATTATTTCAGAACAAAGGAGTATATATTGGCCAAAAGTTCAAAAGTCAATGACATTACCAAAGGCAAACGACCCAAAATAAATGAGGAAACGTCACACATTAATGCATAAACTGATGGGCACTAAATGGGCGTGACTACATATACGATTATATCTATCAGTCTCCATCACATGGTCCACGTGCCAAAAAAATCACAAAAATATTTAAATACATACATATAACCGAAAAAAAAACCAAAAACAAATATTTTTGTATGTTTGTTTGCGCGTTGGGGCGCTTCCTCAACAAATTGTTGTACGTGTTTTGACAATCTTCCTGAAATTTACTAGAGGGTGCATGCTTGACTAATTGTTGGCCACAAAAAAAGACCAAAAACGACGGGTAGACCAGAAGATCCAAATACCCTGGAGCTGTAAGGTGCAACTTTTAGCTTGAGAACGATTTGGACGGGATTTTTTGGAGTCTGTTCACAAATGATAGCAAAAGGATGCAGCAACATAATCCTTCTAAAGGTCAAGCCTGTGCAGCGGTTTCGATAGAAATGCATTCCATGTGATAATTTTCTACATTTTCTATATGTAATAATTACTAAAATTCTTTATGCTTCTTTATTATTATTGCCATATGCTTTTCCAATACCATAAGACCCTCTTTAAGGGGTATAAAAACACACAGAAAAATGTTTAATTAGCCACAAAGCAAAGCGAATAGGCAAACAGATTTTTTTTTTCGTTTGATGTCGGTTATAGAGACACGCCCTGGTAATGGGTAAAGGTTCATCTGTTGAAGCTCGTGGTTTCCGGTGCCGCCTCTCAAAAAGACATATTAAAATTAAATATTAGCTTTATTTAAAACGTTGTTTCCTATCAGTAGATTGTAGGAAGCTAATGAAATGAATATGATACATTGAGTAATCTCTGAGATTTATATCTACAAAAACCATTCAATACTTTCCACAATTTGGCACAAGTGTTTCATGTCAAATTCGACATTATGTTTGATTTATGTCTGCATATACAACATTTACTCAAGGTACGTGCCCTTTCTGTCAAACACACTTCTTGTATTTATTAGACATTTATGGTGGGAATATGTTTTGAATATTTAATTGGAGTTTGCTATGTGCCATCGCAAAGAAAAACAATCGCATTGGCCGCGCGCTAGATTTAAACATGATTTTGTTGTGTGGGGGGTGCATGCATAATATTTAATGTTTGTGGATACAATGCAGGGGCTTTGTTAGACACACAATAGGAAGGTGTCCTAAATGTGGAGCAGTATAAGTGACAAAGCAATGGTGTCATTCGACAAATGGTCGAAGTCTTACGGTTGGAATGTCTTTCGCGGAATATTGGATGGGGGGTAACATATCCAGGAGCATTTCAAGCATTTTCCCTCCACTTTAGATATGTACATTTATTTTCTGATTCGCAAATTGAGCCATATTGTGCTCAAAAACTATTTGCCAAAAAATTGGCTGTCAAGTAGTTCGGTTTAACTCACGTTTAACCCCTTAAACTCTGAACTAGGCTAATCATTGTTCATCTCCAGACCTGATGTGTGTCTGTGTGGCATGCCCCCAGCAGCCAGCAGACAGGGCAGGCAAGTTTTAGGTCCGCTAGAGCTGTTGCAGCTCACATGCTTATAAGCAAATACTTTGTTGCATACATAACACTTTGCTGACCCAATTTGAGACTCGCCTGGGCCTGCAACCTTTTAAAGAGCTACGATTACATGTTTCAGACCAAAACTATTAAATGGTGCACCCAAAACAGGCTAGACGCAGACACCAATAGAGGCAGAGGCAGGTTAGAGCAGTCTCTGATTGAGTGACTGCCAAGAAAACCACTGTCGATTCTTTCCAAAATACAGAGCAAATAAAAGAGAAAATAAAGCTTAATATATTTAAAATATTTCTCCATTAAATGGTTTGATTACGTGGACTATTCGTCTATGTGATCCAATAACATCCCTAACTGCTATGTGAAACTGAAAGTTGTTCGCCAAACGCCACCAAAATTCCAAGCAAAGAGCTTCCTTCCGGTCCTGTCCACGCAGTTCATGTGTCTATTTTTCGACCACTTAATTAATTGAAGCATTGGATGTATGCTTGTCTGACATTCCAATGGATTTCCTACTGGATCCCACTGAAGAAACAGAAAAGAACGATACAAAGTCTCAGTCTTTAAGAGATGCTGCAGAGCCAAGTCAAATAGTTTAGGCCATATACAGGCAAACAAATTGGCTTCCTGCTGGCCATCCG